AATTAAAATTATAACATTGCTAAAGGGTAACTAACCCCATGATCATAGCCTGACTCCACCCACTGGCAATATTTGAAAAATGCTGGAATAGTGGGCGGAGGCCAGCGGAGGGAGGGGGGGGGGGGGTTGGGGGTTGGGGCGTGCACCTTAAACACATATCTCTGTAGGCTGGGGTGTGGTTAGCTTGTGCCTGCTTATAGTCCAGGCAAAATAGCCCATTTTGGAGCCAAAAATAGAAGTAATTGTAAAAGAATTTTTTTCAGCATAGATCATTTCTATGAGGTGTCCAGAACAACATACTAAAAGTCCTAAGAAATCCTAGTTGAGGAAATATGTTTAATTCGCATCAATCCGAGATGTGTGCCAGTAAGGCCAGACAACAATACACTCCAATGGGGCTATTTTTTTCCTTTACTCCTATCAAAATAAAACTTTATACAATGAAAGTACCCATGTAAAGTAACAAATTTTGTATTACAAGTTTCTTTGAAAATGAATTTTATTATGCAAATGAGCTATACACTCATCGAATATGCCCAAAATACACCCAAATAGGCTTAATTTTTTCCTTTACTCCTACCACAATAAAACTTTACACAATGAAAGTCTACAAGAAAAGTAAAACATTTTGTATTAGAAGTTTCTTTGAAAATGAATTTGAATATGCAAATGAGCAATTTACTAATCGAATATGCCCAATATACACCCTAATGGGCTTATTTTTTTTCCTTTACTCCTATAAAACTCACAATTAAACCTCACAGAACAATGACAGTGAAAGTATACATGAAAAGTAACCTTTTTGTTTTACAAGTTATCTTGTAAAAAAAAATTTATGTAGTTAGCAGAGCCGGACCGTATCAGAGTACATTTACTTTAGTACAGTACTTAAGTACAATTTTGAGGGATCTGTACTTTACTTGAGGATCATTTTTGGGGAGTACTCTTGACTTTACTCAAGTACAATTGAGAGGGAAATGTTGTACTATTTACTCCACTACATTTCTATCCATAACAGTGAGCACCCATTACTACTTCTAAAAAAAATGAAAATAAGAAAAATCTCGGAAACCCTCAATTTGTTGTTTCCCTCTCAAACGTGATTGGATTGTGCAAGCGCCTAATCTGGGTTTCCCCATGCTGTCTTGCCACAGCGCGATTTTATTCACGCTGCTAGGCAGCCTGGACACCATGAACAAAATTTTCGCCTGAGCTAGGGAACCAATCACAGAACGAGGAGGGAGCGGCAAGACGATGATGATGTCTATGCAACACCGAAGCAGTTTGTGTATCTCTATGGATCCATTTTGGCAGCGGACGCGAAGTTACCTTTTGATACAGTCTTTGTACATACTGTAAAACTTAAAATAATAGCCTGGGCTCTTATTTTCCCAAATCATCGAACTGCACCGGCTTGTATTTGAGACAGGCGTCTGTATGGAACCGGCCTTTATAATTTAGTGTTGAGATGTTGTTCAATGAGTCTATAATCTCTAAAAATCTCCAAATGCTCCACCTGAAACTGCGATCTTCCAACCTTTTAGTATCGTGTCAATTGATTTGATTATGCGCAAGGGAGAGAGAGCAAGACAGCGCTCGTGTTGTTTGAAGACGTAAGAGTGCGCGCGCGTGTCCGTTGAGCTCTCTCTGCTCCTTATGTGTCCTATCAAGTGCAGCAGTTTCTATTCTACATCACTCACCGATCAAAATAGGCTTTGGCGGGACAAAAATGTGCTTTGGCAGACGCCAAAAAGCGGACGATCTGACGGTTTTAGAAGATTAACAACCCGAAACTAAAAAACAGACCTGGCCTCTATTTGAGACCAGCTTTTATTTACACAAACCTGCAGCCACACCAGGCGTGTAAAAGAGACAGACTATTTGGGACTCGCTATTATTTGAAGTTTTACTTTAAATCTCCTAAATCTCTGACCCATCGTCTTTTTCCTCGTCTAATTTTCTGCTGTTCTACATACGTCATCTGGTATCATTGAACCGATTGGCTATGAGCTACGTACAGACGCATTTGATAGACATTCGTAGCACCCAATAATATGGCTCCGGGCATTCATAAACCACGCCTCAAACACGAGAAAATGAACATGTGGTTTCTAGACAATGTTTCATTCTCAATGAGACGTGGTCTGATATCAGCAATTACCTTCAGCTTTCCGCCAAAGTCAACTCCATGGTCAGATTTAGATAAGAGACCAAACCATGGACGAAACAATGGATGGAGACGCAGCCGGCCCATCCCGGGAATGTGCCGACCCGTGGCCCCACCTATATTCTGAATAGTGACTGAAAAGTGACCCCGAACTCATCTCCAGTGGAACCTCAAATTCTCCTTCCAACGTCAACATCTGCGAAGTTCCATAGTCTTCGGGACTTTAAACAAATGATGGTGTGGAAAGGGGGAAGTGAACGTATGGACCCAAAAGACGGGGGGTGGCATGTTTTGGATGGGGGAGTTTTGCCAATAATGACCGATCAGCCTGCGGCACCACCAGAAATTCTAGATGTAGTCCGCTGTAGTTGCAAGAAAGACTGTGGCACAAAGAGAAGAACATGCAAAAAACATGGACTCCCTTGCACTGCCATTTGCAGAGAATGTCGTGGTACTAGCTGCACAAACTCACAGTTGCCTTATCTATCAGATGAAAATGAGGGGAAGAACTAAGCAAAGAACAAACCAGGAACTGATTTGAGTATGCCAGAACCAAGAGCCACAGAGAAGGGGTCGAGGATAAAATAAAATAAGAGAAAACAAAAATTAAAAACACCCAACCCTCCCCTGAGGCTTGTGTCCCTCTGTGACCCTGAAGACTATACCGGCGGGGGTTATACCCCTGCCAGGTACTAACAAGCCAGGCAGTTTTCAGGTTAGAGGCCAGTCTAAAAGCAGCATTGCCATCACCCATTGGCAGTAGGATGATTGGATGAAGATTGGGCCGATTTGTCATACATATGAAGAGTGTTTCTGCCTATGCAAATTATGACATATTCAATAAGTGTATAGCTCATGTGCATATTCAAATTAATTTCAAAAGAAACTTGTAATACAAAATAAGTTACTTTTCCTGTATACTTTTACTTTGTAAAGTTTTATTGTGGTAGGAATAAAGCAAAAAATTAAGCCCATTTGGGTGTATTTTGGGCATATTCGATTAGTGTATAGCTCATTTGCATAATAAAATTAATTTTCAAAGAAACTTCTAATACAAAATGTTTTACTTTTCTTGTAGACTTTCATTGTGTAAAGTTTTATTGTGGTAGGAGTAAAGGAAAAAATTAAGCCTATTTGGGTGTATTTTGGGCATATTCGATTAGTGTATAGCTCATTTGCATAATAAAATTCATTTTCAAAGAAACTTGTAATACAAAATTTGTTACTTTTCATGGATACTATCATTGTATAAAGTTTTATTTTGATAGGAGTAAAGGAAAAAAATAGCCCCATTGGGGTGTATTGTTGTCTGGCCTTACTGGCACACATCTCAGATTGATGCGAATTAAACATATTTCCTCAACTAGGATTTCTTAGGACTTTTAGTATGTTGTTCTGGACACCTCATAGAAATGATCTATGCTGAAAAAAATTCTTTTACAATTAGTCTGTCGTAAAACGCTACTTTGCCTGGACTATTATGTCACATCACAACTTCCAATAGGAAAATACAACTGCAGTAGCCACCGTTCAACCTGAAGAGGGCAGCACTCAGATATTTTTACACCATATATTGTAGAATTAAAACACTTTATACCCAAATGTCCAAAAAATTCAATGAACAGCAAAAATAAAGCCCAGTCTTACAGATCATTTACTAAAAAAAGTTGGTTTAGGGTTTACCCTTTAATATAATGTATTTTGAAAATATTTTGCATACACTTGTAACTAAAACAGGTATGCAACATATGGTATAAAACACCATATTTATTTTTATTCAGTTTGCACATTTTCGAGTAGTGAAAAAATAATCAAAAAATTTGTTTCTGGTTAAACCGTATACCTGAAAAGGTAGAATTTTGCAATGTTATTGCACTACATGCATGTTCAACATGTTGACCTCCAGTGTGAGGTAGTTATTTATTTTTATTCAGTTTGCACATTTTCGAGTTGTAAAATAATAATATAAAAAATTATTTCTGATTAAACCGTATACCTGAAAAGGTCACAGTTTTGGTCACAGTTATGTGGTTTTGAAATATGTGGTAAAGCAAATAAAATGCAAAAACTATTACTTCTGAAAAAGTTTTTTTTTTGTTTTATTTATCTTCCCAGAAAAGTTATTATTTTAAAAATGTTGTGGAAAAGAAAATAAACAAAAAAAAATGTATTTAGCAAGAAAACTGAAAAAATATTTTTTTTTTCCAAATGAGACATAAAAGCCCAATGTGTCATATATGTCACATAAAAAAAGTAGCATAAACGCCCAATGTGACATATATGACACATTACAGATCTTTGACAAGGAGTGGTTGTATTTAAAAAACAACAGCAGAAACATGTTTTAAGTGGTCCATTTAGTATGTTTTATATGCCCCGTAATTTTCCTAAAAGGGGAAATTGGTCCGGGTTCTTGTGGGTTAAGCTTGAGTTTTCCCTGTGTCCCTTGCGAAGTCTTGTTACCCTGTAAGCGTGCAATTCCGAGCGTTATTCCTTGTTCTGTGTCTCCGTGTTTCCCTGGACTCTTGACCCTTGCTTGTTTCCTGGACTGCTCTCGAACCTGTGCTGCCTGCCTCGACCATTGCCTGTTTAGACCACGAGTTTCTGGATTGCCCCTTTGTTTAAGTGTTTGCCTGTGTTCATGTCTGCTTGTTTTAATAAAGTGCTGCACATGGATCCGACCGTCTCTGTCCGTACGTTACAGAAGACTTCGCCAAACGAGGATCCAGCAGACTTTCAGCATCTATCCGCCGTGGTCAAGACCCGAGCTTCTATGCTAGCCTCACATATAGTTTTCAGCTGGCGAGACTAACTTCTCTCCTCGAGGAACTAGCTAGCTCCGTGCAGTCATGGTCTCCGCAGAGCTCAAGCACAGCGGCTAATCAAGCCCAAACCCCCGCTGCACCTGTTCCACCGCAACCCAGTGTGAGTACCGCATGCAGTAATTCCAGTACGCCGTTTCCTGAGAAGTTTAATGGCTCACCTGAAGCGTGTGAAGGATTTCTGCAGCAGTGCAGCTGGTACATTAGTCATCAGCCCCAGTTTTACGGCTCGGATACCGACCGCATTTCTTTCATCTGCTCACTGTTGACTGGAAAGGCTCTGGAGTGGGCAGGCGCGTTTTGGGAACCAGGTCGGATGTCGTTTCCTTCTTTCGACGTGTTTACCGCCCTGTTCAGAAAGGCTTTTGAACTCCCCGCAGAAAAGGAGGGTCCCGAGGAACTGCTCTTTTCCCTGCGCCGGGGAGGTTCGTATGCGGCGGATTTCTCTCACTCACTCCGCACGCCGCATAAGCCTCAACTCGCTAAACTGTTTGATCCTCCCTTAAGGACCGTCAGAGGAGCTTCTAAGCATATCGTTCCTGCCAAACCCACTCATCATGTCGGACCCCTCGAGCCCGTATCCCGCACTGGCCCTGTTAAAAGTGCTGTTCCTAAGACAGCGGAGGTGTCGCGGGTCGAACCGGAGTTTGAGCGCGTGCCAGCCGATTCGAGTGAGTCAAGTGCCGAGCTGAGTGAATCAAGTGAGTCAAATACCGAGCTGAGTGAATCGAGTGCCGAGTCAAGTGCTGAGCCGAGTGAATCAAGTGTGTCCAGTGTTGAATTTAGTCTGTCCGCTGAATCTCCTGTTCAAGTGAGCGCTGAATCTCCTGTTCAAGTGAGCGCTGAATCTCCTGTTCAAGTGAGCGCTGAATCTCCAGTTCAAGTGAGCGCTGCATCTCCAGTTCAAGTGAGCGCTGCATCTCCAGTTCAAGTGAGCGCTGCATCTCCAGTTCAAGTGAGCGCTGAATCTCCTGTTCAAGTGAGCGCTGAATCTCCTGTTCAAGTGAGCGCTGCATCTCCAGTTCAAGTGAGCGCTGCATCTCCAGTTCAAGTGAGCGCTGCATTTCCAGTTCAAGTGAGCGCTGCATCTCCAGTTCAAGTGAGCGCTGAATCTCCAGTTCAAGTGAGCGCTGAATCTCCAGTTCAAGTGAGTAAGTTGTCCAGCCCTGTGACGCGCCGCGGCAGGAGGAGGAGAAGGAGGACTCGTTCGGTTCGCCAGGCCCCGGTGAGCGTGCCCAGACTCCTCGCCCTGCCGGCCCCGCCTCTGCGCCTCGCCCTGCCGGCCCCGCCTCTGCGCCTCGCCCTGCCGGCCCCGCCTCTGCGCCTCGCTCTGCCGGCCCCGCCTCTGCGCCTCGCTCTGCCTGCACCCTTCAAGCTCCGGGAGGCCTTTCCTGTACCCGTTCACCACCCAGAGGTTCCTCCCGTGAATTTCCCCAAGTATTTTTTGGGGGGGGAGCAGTAGGTACTCGGTGGGGGCCATGGAGGTGATCCTGACATGGACCTCTGAGTCTGTGAGGGCCATGGAGGCGAGGCTGTCATGGACCTCGCCTGTGTCTGCTCCGCCCTCGTCTCTGTCGGAGTCTGCTCCGTCTCCGCCCAAGTCTGCTCCGCCCTTGTCTGAGTCTGCTCCATCCTGGTACTCTTCCAAGCTTACTTCCCCATGGTCTCTTGCCCTGCTCTGGTCCCCAGGCCCCAGGCCTCTCCATGTGCCTGGCCTCCTGCCTCTCCATGGGCCTGGCCCTCCATCCCAGCCCCCGTTGACCTCCCCCCGGAGCTCTTAGGAGCGTCTGGAAGCCGTTCCTTAGAGGGGGGGTTATGTGACGATCAGCAGCCGTGGTGCCCTCGAGAGCCACTAGAGGGCACTCTCTCCCCATGTTCTGTTTCCCCATGGACTCTTTGTGTTTCATTATGTTCAGCTGTGTTTCTTTATTGGTTATTGAGTTTCTTATTTAAGCCTGAGTTTTCCCTGTGTCCCTTGCGAAGTCTTGTTACCCTGTAAGCATGCAATTCCGAGCGTTATTCCTTGTTCTGTGTCTCCGTGTTTCCCTGGACTCTTGACCCTTGCTTGTTTCCTGGACTGCTCTCGAACCTGTGCTGCCTGCCTCGACCATTGCCTGTTTAGACCACGAGTTTCTGGATTGCCCCTTTGTTTAAGTGTTTGCCTGTGTTCATGTCTGCTTGTTTTAATAAAGTGCTGCACATGGATCCGACCGTCTCTGTCCGTACGTTACAGTCTCCTTCCTGTCCAAAAATTCTATTTTATAAAAAACTTTTTCCAAATTTGTTTAAAATTTCTATATATATAAATGCATTATTAAAATGTAAGTATTCTGAGAAAAAGAGTATAAAAATCGAGTGACTCTAGACCATTTAATCGGCACTAAACACAGCTCATTATTTCCAACCAGGACGAAACAAAGGATTGGCTTAGGCGACTGTCACTTTCTCGCAACCATGGACCTGTCTTTTGCCACACAGGACCTGCCCACTTGCGCGTATCCAGATCATACCTGTTCGCATGCCCTTATTTGAGCTTGACTCGACGCAGGTCCTCTTGTCCAAGAAGTGATACTTGCCCTGCACTTCGACCACCCCGTCCTCGGCCTCTACTTCCTCGGCATGGTTGCTCTCTTGGACCCCGGATCTGTCCTCGAGCTGACGATGCGGTAGCCTACTTGTCTCTGGAGTGTAGTCCTCATCAGAGTCAACAATGCTTTCAGCATGGAAACTCTTACATGCCGACCACCATATATGTTATGAATCTTACACAAAATTCATCTTCATCACAGTGTAAATGATAGCAATGGAAAAACCTGTAGGCTATCATGCAACCTGTTTTTAGCTTTGCCTTAACTAGCTCGTTAGCGAATCAATAAATATATATTTTAAACTTTACCAATAGCTTGATAGTGAGTAATAAAATACATAATATTTGTTTATCTTCATAATGATAAAGTTCGATTTTTTTATTACATGTGATTCTGACATGTCACTACATGCACTGTGCTCCTTCCTCTCCGCTCTTCTCAGGTAAATTATGCGTCTTCAGTTATTCAAGGTATTTTTGTCTGGTATCGTATCAAAGTCATAATTAAAGGGTTAGTTCACCCAAAAATGAAAATTCTGTCAGTATTTACTCACCCTCATGTTGTTCCAACCCCGTAAGACCTTCGTTCATCTTCGGAACACAAATTAAGATATTTAAGATATTAAGATCACTCCTGCATACTAGTCCATAGGCTTCTTGAGGGAATGACTTGCTGTCCTTGAAAAGTCATTAAAGACATCCTTAAAATAGTCCAAGTGACTACAGGGGCTCAAATTTTAAGTTTATCAAACGATGAGAACACTTTTGTGCGCAAAAAAACAACAAAAATAACAACTTTATTTCAACGTTCACACACATCACACACATGACCAGCGTCGGCCAATAGTGAGCCTACGTGTGACGTCCCTTTTCACAATCACACTATGTTAACTGACTACAGGCCCATGGAGAAGGAAGTGAACAGTTGAAATAAAGTCATTATTTTTGTTTGTTTTTGCGCACAAAAAGTATTCTCGTCGTTTGATAAAGTTAAAATTGAGCCACTGTAGTCACTTGGACTATTTTAACGATGTCTTTAATGACTTTTCAATGCCAGCAAGAGTCATTCCCTCAAGAAGCCTATGGACTAGTATGCAGGAGCGATCTTAATATCTTAAATATCTTAATTTGTGTTCCGAAGATGAACGAAGGTCTTACGGGGTTGGAACAACATGAGGGTGAGTGTAAGAGCCATATTTCACATTTCAAAATGTATATTTTCATATTTTATTGAGTAAATTTGATACAATCATCATTTATGTTAATTAATATTTCATTGTTGAATATACTTCTTTAATTTATATTTGTTCTCTCTGCGCATGTGCAGTAACGTTCATTTTTGGTAGCACATGGAAAAAGTTAGGAGCTCATGCAATTAGTGCAGAGGCTCGGTGGAAGAACACAAAGCTTTTGACCATTTTTTCTAGCATATTTTGCCTAATAAGTAGGCTATTTCTCTACAAACAAGTTGTTGAGAAGACATCACAAAACTTGTGGAATAATTAAAGACGTTCACATGTCCCGTACATGTAAGTCAAAAGCTTTGGCATTGTTTAAATGTGTTTACAAGTGCGCACTTCAATGCACGTTAATGGAAGACTGTGCGTGAGACGTCAGAAGGACTCCCAGACAGCAAACTGACATTGAATCAACGTGGAAACGACGTCTCTCATGACATTGAAACAACGTTGATTTTGCTCATCGAATTAACGTTGAACCAACGTCAGACGCGGCATTCTTCAAAGCTAAATGAAAATCGAAAATTGGTTTGCTTTCATAACGTTGAAACAACGCGTTGATTTCAAGTTGATTTTCCGTTAGTTTTGAAAGAATGACGCGTCTGACGTTGGTTCAACGTTAATTCGATGAGCAAAACAATGTCAGATCAACGTTGTTTCGATGTCATATTTCCACGTTGATTCAATGTCAGTCTGCTATCTGGGCTTGCTTCGCTTGTTGTGGCCAAATAGTGCTGTGCAGGATATTGGAGTTATAAATGAATGAAGATCTATCATATTTTTGCCTGCAAGAAGTAGTAGTTGTGTAACTTTGATTGTAAGAAAGATTGCACGTCTTGCAATGTCACAAATGGCGGACAAAAAGACGACGACGATGACGACGAAGATGTTGTTACACGGTCTGAACGCAAGAGGGCGCTAACGGACAAGGGTTTGGAAGAGAAGCTTAATCACCAAATAAACGCCAGACGAGGCAAGTTGAGACAATTAACTGCAAAATCAAATGAAAGCGTAGCGCAAGTTCTGCCAGGAAGACTCAATTGTCACGTCATTATTACCTTCTCATCTATCCAATCGCGTTCTAATACGTGAAGTATAAAAGACCCTTACTTGCACTTGTCTGAGTTCGCAGATGCTGACGCTTCACTTATGTTCTCGTTCAGTCGCCAGTCAACATGTCCAGGACACGCATATTGTTTACATTTATCGACATCCGACTATGTCCCGCTCTACCTCCTGCTGCACGTCGAGGTTCCCGCGTTCAGTATCGCATCTCTCCATAGGCACAGCGGTCTTCGGAGAGTATTGATCAGCCAAGGCCTTCATGAGAAATTCTGCTCCTTAGACTGGTGCCATTTATCCCGCAGATCACCGATCCACCGACGTGAAATAACTATGCAAATCACGAGACGATCTCTCACTGGTTCAAGTTCAAACTTCACTTCCAAGGCTTTCAAGTCGTTTTTGGTATTTTTGGTAGGTGCTTCCAGCAGCCACTGTTAATGTGTCTCCTCTACAAGATTAAACTTCATTCCGGTAAGTATTTCTCCGTTGCTTCCTACACGGCTGAGTTGAAATTGGTGTCTACGATGAACGCGTGTTCTGATTATTACGGCTGATCTGCGGTCTGCAGAGGGGCCGGGTAGCTTGCATGCTCGTAGCAAGTGTAAGCAAAGCTTCGCGTTACTGATATTCCACAGTTATGTGGTTATTTAATTATATCAGCTTTTTCAATACCATGCTCTGTTTGTTAATACCCACCAAAACTGTGTTCAAATAAGCTTAAGAGTGCTTAAGAGCTTTATGCATATGCAGTATTGCGCTTCTTAACGTTCGCTTTAATTCATCACCAGAGTTCGGTTGCGTGTGTATTTAAAAACCAAAAGCACGTTATCATTGGCCTTTATGCATACTGCAGTGGACTAGGATGGCAGTAATTTACATATTACTAGCGTAATAGTAATTTCACAAACAACTATTTCACCTAATGGCTACTTTAAATTCATAAAGTCACGGTCACGTTATACTTCAAATTATATAAATAACATCGGAAATGTGTTGATGTAAAACTTAACTTTCTGGCGGCTACTTAATCTACTGATATGCGTTATAGGAATCATTTATGCGAGGGGCATTTTCACATAAACCCAGACTAAAAGGAACAAGGAGTTGTGTGGCGCCGTTCAAAGTTACATATACTTGGCCAAAAACTGCCAACTCAATAATCATATTAGTATACCACTAATCAGTGAAGGAGACTCGAGTGACATTGTCTTAGTCAACTGCGTGATTTTCATGTCTACGCACCATTTATTCAAGAATCTCAACTGTCGTGGCCAGCGTCTTCCAGCTATGTATGGGGTTATTTCTGCAAAGAGCAACTTGGGAGCCATGGCAGACATTTGCTGTACACCTGAGAAAAAATATTTAATATTTAATTAAATAATAATAAATAAATAAACTCTGGTAATGCTCGACAATCACATTGTTTTATTAAAAAAAAAAAAAAAGTGTATAAAAGTGTATAATTGTGCCTCCTTTCTTTCGCAGGATATGCACGGGTATGCTGGGTTTTGCCCAGAATGCCTTAAAAATAATTGAGTAGTAATGGTCATTTCGAGGGTGAGTAAGCATCTTGTTTCGCCTCCACATTTGGATGTGGTAGGGCTGCTGCCTCCAGCACAGGGATCGGAGTTTCAACAGCTCGGTGCAGCTTCGATTACCATCACTGACATTTTAACTTTTTCACTTGTTCAACTGGAATCGCATAAGATGTAGTCTCAGGAAGTGTCAACATAGTCAACATTCCAGATGGTCGTTGATGGATTATGTAGCTCATGCGTAGTTATCTCTAGTCACCAGTTAGGTTATTCTGTCTCGATATTCTATATATCATGTCCTGCTGGCAGGATCAATTATATTTAGGCTGTGATGAA